TTGTCTTCTCCACTGTTCTTGTGTAATACTTGAGTCATTTGAGATATTGATCAAATGTATTAAATGAATCTACTTCTTGTTTAAATTAGGGGATTAAATTTCTGCTAATTGCAGGAAAGGATTCAATATTTGATTATTGCTCTACTCTAATGCTGGTATAATTTGGAAACTCACGTTTACATAACATCATGATTGAGAGGATTTATGCCATGATGGTTAATTTCTTTTGCTTCATTCTTATGCCTGTCATACTATTCGCACATTCTTGTAGTTTCTGTAGCTATGGATGACAAGGTTGATAGTTTGTGTTTAGATGTTAGGTTGGTGAAAAAGGAACTGAGTTTCTAGTGTTAATTTGTTACCATTGCTTGGGGTGCCCCGTGGGTGTGCTAGTGACTTAAGTTACCAGCATCATACACAAAGATCTATTGAAGTCATACTTTGGAAAGAAAGAAACAACCGCACTTTTGAAGACAAAGAGGATTCTTTTGGAAACATCAAGGACAAATGGTTCCACTTTTTTGGGTCCACATTATTGGGACATCACCTTTATAACCTTGATGATTTTGGTTTCATTGTAGATATATTCTTAGATTTGTAAATCTTTTATACATTGGTGACACCCCTTTTGTGCCTACTCTAATATATTTTTTTACTTTCTATCTCAAAAAAAAAAAAAAATCTATTGAAGTCATGAATCAAATACATTTCTATTCTGTTGCCTGCAACTTGCCATGCTAATGTATTTTTTTAAGGAAAGTTGTGTAAGCAAACATGGAATATGACGTTTTGGCAGTCTTGAGTAATTAATGTGTGTGAATTATAAGCTTAAAGCAATGATTTAAGGCTACATATTAAGTTGGATTTGATTTCCTAGAATGTGAAATTGGCTCTGAATGACTTTAGGCTATCTGCTTAACCTGAAGATTAATTATCAGGTTGAGAAGGAAAATGTGGAAGTTCCTTGTTTCATGTTTTAGACCTTTTTTTTTTTCCTTACAGGGATATGTGAAGCCGCTTTTGAACATTAAAATTCTGATAGAAGAAATAAAAATGAAATTGCATAATTAGAATGGATTTTCAAGTAAATCATGTCCAAACTTTAAGTACTTTATGAAGTAAATATTCCTCTATTATATTTAGGTTTTGCTTTATGATAAGGTGAAAGGCTTTTGCCATCTATAGTGGTGCTAGTTTTCTCATACTCTGTTTAATGGATTTCATCTTGGTATTCCCAAAAGAAGTTTTTGTGCTCTATGCTTCTCTACAAGTAGTCATTCTAAGTTGAAAATGAATTACTACTGCACTGTCTCTTTATCTGATGTCTCTCTGATGTGATGTTACTAATAGTGAAAATGTTTATCTTTGGTAGCATTGGCATGGCATCCCTTCCATGAAGAATACTTTGTCAGTGGGAGTTTTGATGGATCAATTTTTCATTGGCTTGTTGGGTATGTCTGTACCTTTTACTCCATCCTTTCTTGTTCTCATTCTTACATGCATCAGTTTTTTGATGCATTAGGTTAATTTTTATATTAAGGAGTCATAGACCATCTATATACGACAGTAATCACCCAAATTATTCTCCTTTTTGATATAGATTACCGTACTTATTTTTCATTTTGATTGGTGGTTTATGTAATCTTAGGGTAGGTAGGGAAGCATTCCAGACAGCTTGTATATTTTAATGACCATTAAGATTCTCTTGATGCGCAGGCATGAAACACCTCAAGTTGAAATCCCGAATGCCCATGATAATAGCGTATGGGATCTAGCATGGCATCCTATTGGATATCTTCTTTGCAGGTTAAGTGCTGTTGTTCTTTGTGTCCATATTATAGTATTGTTAAGTTTTAGACATGATGCTCATAAATTTGTGTTTATAACTAGTTTTCTCGTGGAATACAAACATATTTTTCTGCTTGAAATAAAAAATATAATGTGTATTCATCAATTATAGACACCAAATGGGTGCCGACCTATGTATAAAAGACACATCAATAAGAATCTCTATAGGTTACTAAAATCCTCTATAAAGAATAAAAAGTTGCCGGTAACCAGACAACACAAAATTTGGTACCATCTATCTCTAACCTTATCAAACTCCTCTTCCACCCTTCAAAATTTGGTACCATCAATAAGAAATATTAACAAAATTAATTGATTATTATTGGAGGATTTTCTTGGTGTGCTGCTTGAAAATCTCTCATTAAGATCTAATTGATATTTTTATCATATATTCAGTTATATGGTTAAAATACTGATAGGATTTCCTTTATGCATGGGTGGCACCCTCTTAGTGCTTAATTATATAATATTCTGATTTTTCTTCAGAAAGAAATAAAGATATTTCTATCATGATGTACTATGTCTCACAATATGTCTTAATCTGGAAGGGAATAGCCTGAACTTGAATCATAAACTGAAATCACTTCGTTTCCCTTTCTCAACGTAATTGAAAGAAGTAAATACTGAAGTAACTCTTGAAGTAATGGAAACTTTATTTCACTACTTGACAGCCACATGTCAAGGGTCTTTTACTTAACTGTGAATCTTGTTCCTTGATGGTATTGAATTATTCAATTAGAAGTTTTGAAGATCAATTCTAGCTGAAAAGCAAGTAGGAAAAAAAAAAAACAGACTTACGTCATAAGAAAAGTAGAATCCAGACCCGATTACACATGACTTACACATGACTCTTTTGCTGAAACCCTAAGGAAGGACACGATTAACCCTAATTGGGTCGAGATGAAAGATACCCGACCCGCTTTTTTCAAATTTCAAAATGGGCATAATGAGGCAGGTAGAACTCCGAATGGGCCGGGCAAAAAAGATAAACAAATGGGCCTTATTACTAAGACAAAAAGGGGCAAGAGGGCAGGATGGATTGGGCGGAGAAAGGAAAGTGGCTGATCGGAAATGATCATGCTGGTCCATCCAAGAGGCTCAGATATAATGGTGGGCAATTGATTAGAGGGTATGAAGGCCCAGAAAGGAATGCTGAAGTCAAAAGAAGATCGACCGAGGGTGTGGGGAAACAAAGACAAATTGAGAATTTTCCTTCTCGATTTCAAACCCTAGATAAGGGTATTACAGTTGTGGATGAAGGAAAAGGTGAGGAGTCAATTTTCTCAGTGCGGTTTGGGGGAGAAGAAGAATTTCTGGAGGTCATGTGTAGTTTGGCAAAGTTGGGAAGAGATGAGGAAGAAATCGTAGTTGCTTATGGGGGGTCGAGTGAAAAGGAGATGGCGGGTATTACGACGAAGGGCACAAAATCTAGGGAAGAAAGGCGTGAAGTATTGGCAGAGTTCGTTGACGAGGTTCACGTATTTGAGGAGAGCGTTAGCTGTATTTTTCCGACTCACACACTGTTCGAGGATGCTGTCAGCAACTCACTTCAAATGATTGAAGTCCCAAAGAAAGGGGAACACTCAGGATGACGGTTTTGAGCTAGATAATCAGCATCTTCAGCTGGCTCTTCAAGTTAGAGAACCCAATCAGTGGGGAAGTGGATTTTGGAGTGGTGGAGTGCCTACAAGTTGAAAGCTCACGGTGGATACTTGAAAATATGAAAAAATTGAATGACCTGGTGGGAGTTGTGTTTGGAGGTTTCGAAGATAGGGTGA